ATGTTCTTTACCGAATTTAACAAAACCATCAAGTTGTGTCATGCAGACTTCTTCATACAAATTGTCATTCAAGAACGCAGTCTTGACATCTATCTGGTAAAGATCAAGATCAAGTTGTGCAACTAAAGTCATTACCACTCTAAAAGCATCTTTGGTGGATACCGGAAAGAAGGTTTCTATGTAATCAATACCTTCTTTCTGGTTGTAGCCTTTAGCTACAAGTTTGGTTTTATATCTATCAATTTTACCTCTAGCTCCTCGTTTTGTTTTAAAGACCCACTTGCAACCCACTGGTTTAAACCCCTTTGGTAGCTTTACAAGCTCCCATACGTGATTGCGGTACATAGAGGCAATTTCTTCACTCATAGCCTTCAACCATTCAGAAGAATGTGAGCTAGAAATAGCCTCTTGGTAACATATTGGGTCTAAACTATCAATAGCATCTGAATTAAATTCCTGCAAATACACCATGTAATCATCTAGAATAGCAGACCCGCGAACCCTTTGGGACCGTCTTGGTTCAACAACCAGATCCCTATCATCCTTTAAAGGTGGTTTATCTTGAGCTTCATCCTGATCTACGGCATTATTTCTGTCAACATGAGGGGTTGTCAAGATAGGCATAGGCAAGATGTTACTTTCGTCATGCAAAGTAATATGCCTAGGCATAGAGCTCCCACTGTCTAAGGCATCTTCAAAGAAATAAGCTCGATCAGATTCAATTACCTTAGTAGTGTGATTTTAACAATAGAATCTGTACCCACGAGATCCGATGCAATAGCCAATAAAGAAACCATCAACAATTTTAGCATCAAGCTTTATCTGTTGTGGATTGTAAGGTTTTACCTGTGCTTTACAACCCCAAACTCGCATATGCTTCAGCACAAGAGTCCTTCCAAAATACAACTCATATGGAGTCTTTGGAACTGACTTGGTAGGAACTTGATTCAAAATATAAACAGTAGTTTTAAGTGCATCACCCCACAAGAATTCCGGCAATGAGGAGTGACTGATCATGCTCCTAACCATATCCATGAGAGTATGATTTTGCCTTTCTGCAACCCCATTTTGTTGTGGGGTCCCAGGCATAGTATACTGAGCTTCAATGCCATGCTCTTAAAGGTACAAAGCAAATAGCCCAAGGTTCCTGCCAGTCTCAGTATATCTCCCATAAAATTCTCCTACTTTATCAGATCTCACACACTTGATCAACTTGCTAGATTTTAATTTGACTGCTGCTTTAAAGGTCTTGAATGCATTAAGGGACTCACCTTTTTCACGCAAGAGTTTAATCTATCCATGATGAGAGTAATCATCTGTAAAGGTGATGAAATATCTAAAACTACCTATAGTCGGAGGTGTGATAGGTCCACAGATATCAGTATGGATTAGGTCTAAAGTGTTTTCAGACCTCTTTGCCCTTTTAGTTCTAGCTCTAGCAGGGAATTTTCCCTTTATGCAATTAACACAAGTCTCAAAATTTGAGAAATCAAGGTCTTGTAAGACACCTTGCTTGGTCATGCGCTTCAATCTCTCTCTAAAGATATGACCCAAACGACGATGCCATAGCATAGAGGAATTATCATTAGGCCTTTAATGTTTATGCCCAATAGCAGCATTGATATGGAGATTAGGAAGTTCAATTGATCAATCATTCAATCAATATAAACCATATATCAAGGAAGCAACACCAACATTAATGGAATCAAAACAAATGTCAATTTTCCCATTTCCTTGGAAGAATGAATAGCCACAAATATCCAATGCAGAAGTTGAAATTAAATTTCTCTTTACAGAAGGTACATAAATAACATTGTTCAAATGTAAAATATGACCAAAATTTAAATATAAAGAAACAGTTTTAATGCATTCAAACGATGCCTTGCTCCCCGCTATGCCAAAGACTGACCTCTGTGACTCACTTGGAACCTTCTGGTTTCTTAGCCCTTATAGAGAATTCACAACATGTATAGTGGCACCAGAATCCAGCCACCATAAGTCAAAGGAAGTTTCAATGGTGTTAGATTCAAAACAAACTAGAGCTAGAGGGGCAGTTTGAAGAGTTGTACCTTTACTTTCTTGTTTGTTCTTCAATTTGAAGCAATTAGCTTTAATATGACCCGGTTTCTTGCAATAATTGCATGACCTTTTAAAGGGTTTCTTCCTCGACTTCTCACTCTTATCACCATCCTTCTTAAAGGTTGGATTATTAGGCTTTGGGGCATTTCCCTTTTTCTCATATGACCCTCCAAATTTGCTGCTAGAGCCATGAGAAACATAGTCTATTGAGTGAGAGGAATTCTTCTTTATAGCTTCCTCTTCTTGAGTGACTATCAATATCATCTGGTCAACAGACCATTCAGCTTCTTGTGAGTTGTATGAAGTCTTTAAGAATGCGTACTCTGATGGCAGTGATTGAAGAACACTGTAAACCAAGGTACTTTCACCTAAATCAATCCCATATGACTTAAGCTTGTTGTAGTAATGAACAAGCTTCAGAATGTGCTCCCTGACACCAAAAACTCCGTCATATCGAGTATTGTCTAGAAGTGATAGATAGTAGTTCTTTTGAGTTTTGTCAAACTTCTTGTATTTGTTACTAATAGCTTTCAAGTACTTTACTGCAGTATCCTTTTCAGGAATGCTATCCCTAATTTCCTTTTTAATTGTGTACTTGATGATCGCCAGACAGATCTGGTTGGACTCACTCCATTGTTTATGGAAGGCCATTTCAGAAGTACTAGACTCGGAAGAGAGATCCGCAGGTTTAGGTTCTCTCATAGCTAAATCTTTCTCAAAAATGGTCAGATACATAGTTAAGGACTCTTTCTAGTCATCATAATTAGTCCCATTTAGAGCCTTCACAAAGGATAGTTGCGTAAAAGCGGAAACTGAAATCGCAAAACAGAAAATGGGAAATATTAATTATGCGTGCACAATATAATTATAAAACAGAATTCCCCAACAAGCGATAATCAATTATGCAACTATAATCATGCACCAAGAAGGCTCATATACCATACAATTTAGCTCATACAAAAATCCATACAAAATAATGTATTAAACATTTTCATACCTATAGGGTACAACAAATATCTAACACATTAAAGAAGTGCTATTAGTTTATTCTCAAAGCCAACTATCAAAATCACATTAATAATGTCACACCTATGGGGTATGTCCATTATCCATACTACAAGATCCTAAACATCATCAGTAATTCACAAAATCACAAATTTTATGACCTTAGGACAAAACAACATAATTTTAAAAGTCCTTAGGGTTTTTTGAGAATTAGGAAACGTATCTAGGACTTAAGTGAAATTTTGAAAGGTAATCAGGGGTAAATAAGTAATTCTAGAAGAGATTTGGGTCAAAATTGCAATTCTGAAAGTTAAGGGTCTAAACTATAATTTTTAAAAATATCATGGGGCTAATTTGTAAATTCAAGGAATTATGAGCCAAAGGAGGTAATTTAAAACTAGGGCCGAAACGCAATTAACAGAATTTTTTTTTATAATTATATTGGACCCATACGATTTGTGCCCAGTGGACCTGGTCCAGCCTACCATAAATTTTATTTTAAGTAATGAATCCGGGCTCAAACGAAATATGGGCCCAGTACTAGGAAACCAGATCCCTAGGATCTAGTTTCTGACCTTGTCTTCTGGGTCTGTGGTTGCAGCACAAGAGGAACGAGGAAGAAGGGGCACCGGCATTCATGGCTGTTCCACCCTTATGACGCCGGCGTCCATGGAGCGGCAGCCAGCCACCACGACTCCGACACCTTCACGGCGGCTGTTCATCAGGTGAGACGTGTGTGACTGCCGTGCAAGAGGAACGAGGAAGAAGGGGTGAAGTCACCGGCGCGTAGGAGTTCCAGCTGCCAGAGAGGACAATGCCGTTGGGCGGGGAACCGGTGGCAGTTGTCGCATAAACATAAAACGTACAGCGACTACCCAGTGCCGTGAACCAGCCAGCGTATCTCATAAAACAGGAACCTGTTGCATCCTTTATTCGATGACGCGATGACAGAAGCTGGGAGGTTTTTTTTTTTTGACAGCATAAACGTGACACTGTGTAGGCTGTAAATTATGATCTCAGACAGAGACTTCCGGTGGCTCAATGACACCAGCTCCCGAGACGTACCAACCACTCATTCCGGCGTCAATTAAGGCAATAATGAAGGGAGGAAAGAGCAACTAATAAAATATATGTACATGTTAAATCAAATTCAAACATGTTAAGTTGGAAAAGAATTACTTATCATTGTAAACATAAGATATTGAATTGAGATATATAAATTAATGTTCGTAACCATAGCTTTGATGCCATGTGTTAGATCGGATATCTCAATTCATATGTATAATAAAATATGATAGAATAAAGTAATTCATGCGTACCTAAAGAATCCATGAATGTTAGAGAAATCTCGATTATCTCGAGTATAGACAGGTACACAACCCACAGGTTCCAGAGCCTTCAGAGAGTTCATAGATAATGAAAGTAAAGAAAAGAGTCGTGTGTTCGCAATTATCAACTAATTGACTTATATAGATCAGATCGGTAACCACCTTATTAGATAACAAATAATTATATATCTTATTATCTCTGATTCAGTCAGTTAAGAGATAGGGAATACCTGACGGCTATTGGGTTGTGGGTTGAGTCTCTGCCCATTGAACTCACTTGTGTGGTTCTCATATTACGATCCACACAAGATCATAAAGACCAATCTATTTAGACTTATTAATTAATGTTAATTTATAATTAAATAAATATTCCAACAGGGGACAGATTTGGGTTGCGAGGTTGCTCTATCGTTTCACTTGTTATTCTGAGAACAGAGGCCGATATAAAATGTTCACTGCAAAAGATGATCTGAACCTTGAATATTCGTGTCATGTCACAACGCAGAAAAGTTGGAATCTCCCATAAAACCGTTTTTTTTTTAGAAAAACAAGGGAATCTCCCAGAAAACGTAAATGCGAGTGGAACATGAGCGCGTGATGAATGAAAATTCAGAGTGTCGCCACAGAAGACCCCACCTGGCCATTTTACCCTCAAGATCCAAGAAGACGTAAAAATCAATCAAAAGAACAACCACATGCATCAAACCACCACCACCTACCGCCGCCGTCTACTGCCCTTTTCACGCAAACACCCAACCACCACCATCATATCCTACCCACTAATCCGCGATAATGGAAACACAAGGTCCTTCTACTCCTACTTCAACCAAATCGCCGCAGCAGCAGCTGTCCCCGCCACCATCGGTCCTCGATAGGCCACCGGGGGATTCTGAGATGGAGGCGCAACATCATTTGTCGGAAGACTCTTCATCTGTTTGGGACCTGGACTGCCTTTTGGATTTTAGCTTGGACGAGAATTTAGCTCTCTCCTTTGACGATTATCCCCCTCATTCAGATGTTCTTCAAAATCCGGCGCTTCCTCCTCAAGAGATTCCCAGTTCCGAGAAGGTTCGGAAGCGAGACCCCAGGCTGACTTGTTCCAATTACCTGGCCGGTCGGGTCCCATGTGCATGCCCGGAGGTCGATGCTAAGCTCGAGGAAGAAGGTTTGCCTGGTAAGAAGCGCGCTCGCACCGTCCGGGCATCGGCTGGAATTGCACGGTGCCAGGTACCTGGGTGCGAGGCAGATATTAGTGAGCTCAAAGGGTATCATCGAAGGCACAGGGTTTGCCTGCGTTGCGCGAACGCTAGTACAGTTATACTTGATGGGGACGCTAAGAGATACTGCCAGCAGTGTGGAAAGTAAGCTTAAATTAGATTACGGAAATGCAATTTTGTTTCATAATTTAATCGAGCACATCTCTTTCGTTACTGCATTCTGGTCTGGAGAAAATAGGGTTAGTTTTCGTTTTTGGAAATCGAAATGATAGTACATAATATATAACCTTGAACTTAGGAAACGAGGGAACTGGAATCTTTTATAATGTTCACCGGCCATTGGGTGGGCATTTTTAATGATAGCGCCAAGCTTGAAGAATCACTTTTTTTTTTTGGGGGGGGGGTTCATTTGTAATTCAGTTCACTTCCTTTATTTTTCTGAATGTACAAGTCCTGGTTTGTCATGGTTCGACTTGATTTGTGATGTGGATCATTTTCATGCTTAACGCATTCTGCGTGAGATGGTTGTGCTGACATAGTTTTGAATTCTGGTGGAGTGACAATTCTCATGTTTTCTTTGTCTGTCATAGTCCTGTCGTTTGGCCCCCTTATAATTATCTCTCCCTGACCTAGCCTCTTGCTTGTCAGGTTTCACATCTTACCAGATTTTGATGAAGGTAAACGAAGCTGTCGAAGAAAATTAGAGCGCCACAACAACCGAAGGCGTAGAAAGCCTACAGAAACCAGAGCTGCAGAAGATCAAGAAGTTCAACCTGTTAAACAGGCTGAGGTTGATGCGGGAAAAGGTTTATTTTTTATCTCAATAGCGTTGTAAATTTTTTTAATCAGTCTAGTGATATTTTGATACAAAAAGTATGTTTTTACAGTACAAGATGTTTAATGGTCATTGCTCAAATCATGCAGATAGTTCCCATATAAGCAGTGAGATAAACGAAATAGAAACTGCTCTGGAGCATGAAGATGGACAATTTACTACGCCATGTTCAGCTCCTGATACCCTGAACACTAAAAATGATAATTTTGTGTCCTATGTTGCTTACGGTGATACACAAGTGAATGGTAGAAAAGAGAATTCTGATATTTCTTATTCACCATCATATTGTGACAAGAGTGCTTACTCATCCATGGTAAGTTTGCTCAATTGTGTCCTTCATGCCTTTTGAATATTTTATTTCATGCAGGAATAGATAAGTGTGATTTGCTGATCCAATACTTACTTGTAGTGCCCAACAGGTCGGGTATCTTTTAAGCTTTATGATTGGAATCCTGCGGAGTTTCCCAGAAGGCTACGACATCAAGTATATTAAAGCATTGTTATTACAGTTTAGTATTTACATAGTGGTAAAATCTTCTACTGTTTCGACATTGGTAACAGATTAACATGCAGTCAAATGTGCTTGTAGATATTCCAATGGTTGGCCAGTATGCCTGTTGAGCTGGAGGGTTATATCCGCCCTGGGTGTACAATCCTGACAGTTTTTGTTGCTATGCCTAGATTTATGTGGACAAATGTAAGGATTAACTGGCTATCCTTTGTGTAACGTCGTATCTATTCTTAGTTTGGGAGGTGCCGTTTTGTTGTTTGTGATGATTAAGCATGTTAGACCTGAAGAAGTTGATTTTCCTCAAGTAAATATTCTTGGGGAAGTGAACAAAAACTATCCATTCTCATCCTCTTAAATAGTTTTATGATCAATTACCCTGCTTTCACTCTTAGCAGTATAGGTTTCTTCTACTTAAGCTGCTCAATTTACCATGTTTTACCGAACCTGCCATGGTTTCTTTTATTCATTCTCTCTCTTATGAATGGTGCAGTTACTTGAAGACCCTCTATATTATGTTCAAGACCTAGTAGCTCCAAGAAAGATGCTATCTGGAAGAGGCACTGCACTTGTTCATCTAAATGACATGATCTTCCGCATTTTGAAAGGTCTATTGATGTTCTATCTGTTCACCTTTCGGTTAACTAAATATATTTTCTTTTTGATTTACATTTCATTTGCATTGATTTTGAGATGTTAGATTAGAATTTTATCCTCAAAATTGTTGTCTTTGCATAAATTCCTCAATTGCACTATCCTCCAGCATGGTTGCTGAAATATCCGGTTTAAATTTTTAATATTTCAGGTTTTATCCCTTTGTGTTTTTCTGCAAAACTGTGATCTGAAAGTATTTATAGATGATATTCAGCTTTTTTAAACGTAAGCTAATATATTTTATAGAAGGTTATAATTCTTAAATCTCTCAAATTGTGAAAAATAATCAGAAGATTTTAATGATTGCAGATGAAACTTCTGTGATGGAAGTTCAGATAAAGGTGCACGCACCAAGGCTTCACTATGTTCATCCTACATACTTTGAGGCTGGAAAACCTATGGAATTTGTTGCTTGTGGAAGTAACTTGAAGCAGCCTAAGTTTCGGTGTGAACATATCACCTCTTCTATTGTATCATTTTTTACCATTGTGGATTTATTTTCCGTATCATGTACAGGAACAAACATAAGTATATTGTGTGCACGCTGCATTTCATTTTCATATGTATTTCTTGGCAATGTGAAAGTAAGGGCAGTTCCAGTAGGGATCGGTGAGGGAGAGGAAGATGCAGAATGCAATGGCTGAGTGGTTCGAGTGGAAATGTGCTTTGACCCCGTTAAACCTAGAAGCATAATCAACACCCCTTTTGTATCTGTACGTTTAAGTTATTAGTTCGTTTAAGATTCCAGAGCATGTGGGATGTATTGGTGGCTGTCTTTTGATTTACTCCTTTTGTTGTCACGCTTAATTCTTTTTTTAAAAAATAAATTCTTCCTAAGTTTATCATGCCTTACAAGGTTTTCTTACCATTCAATGCTGTTAATATAAGCTCAACTGCACAACATTAAATTGTTATCTTGTATTGTACCTCATTTAATATTCTTCTTTCTTTCTTTCTTTCTTTCTTTCTTTCTTTTGAATGAAAGGAGATATATTAATAACAAAAGAATTACATCAGGCAACCGGAATCAGAAACAGGGCTGAAGAAGCTGTACAAAATAACAACTTAATTCTCTAGACAGCTTGTCCTCTCATTTAACATGCTTGTTCAATTGTTAGCGCACCTCTCACTATAGTATGGTGTTTATCATGGCAGGCTTCTTGTATCTTTTTCAGGAAAGTATTTAAAGTACGAATATTGTGTTGCATCTCCTCATAACTGGGCAGGAGATGGCATTTCTTGTGCTTTTGACAGTCAGTTGTACAAGATTTACGTCCCTCATACAGAACCAAACATATTTGGACCTGCATTTATTGAGGTAGACATTGCTTGATGAATTCTTTCTTTCAAGCCTTACCTAAATGTTGACTTGAGTGTTTTGTTTTGGATTGCTATGCTTCCAGTGTTGAGATCTTGTGTTGATTATAATTACTGCAGGGCTCGTTGAATATGAATCTCTTATTTAGAAACTTTTGATGTGTTCTTTTTTTTTTTTGTAAAAAAATTCATGGTCAAAACTTAGTAGTATTAACTAAAGCATTATATACCAGCTGGGTTGGTATTACATTTCTATTATTCAGGGTCTGTTCATTATTATGGGTCTGTTCATTTTCTAGAGAAATAAATATCAACACATAAAAAAACCATCATTCTCTGAGTCATTGTATTAAAATATATGTTGTATCCAAATATTCATCAAAAATGAAAGAGTAGATCGCACTGATAAAAATAAAAGGGGAGATTTTGTCTTCATTAAATTTGACAATGAAGTATATTTAGGTTAACCGAAGGTAATTTAGTTAAAAAATTAGAATTCATACTGAATTGTTGCACAACTTTCTATTTCAGGGGTGGGTCATCTATGTTTTTAAAATATGAGAGGTCCATGTAGTTTTATCCTAAATTTAGCCCAACAGTTAATGCAAGTATTAAACCATATGTCATAGATAAGATCATTAGCACCACTTTATGAATAACTCATTCTTAAGATCACCACAACAAAATATGCTTCTTTTCTTTCTTGATAAGAGATGTGGACAATAATAAAAATACAGCGCTGTTTGTCAACTCATTGTCCCAAAAAGATTGATGTTTAACAAGTACAACACTCGGTGATACATAATTCTAAATAAATGATGGAGTTAGTTATGGGAGTTGTAGTTAGGGGGTGTAACGAGGTCAAAAATTAAATGGTCTCGGTTAATTTGTAACTAGGCTTTTTGAGTGATAAAGATGATTTCTGCTCCCTCTTCGCCCCCCTCTCTTCCCTCCTATCTAATCTATTTCCTGTCTTTCTCTTCTATTTGTCTCTGCTATGCTATTACTACGTATCAGTGGTATTAGAGCCGCTGATTCTTAGCCTAACATGATAGAATCCAAGTCATTCAGAAAATCAGCGGGAGATGGGATGTGGCTATGACAGCGTGGTAGTGTCTAACTTCAATGATGCATTTGACTGTATTACTAGCAAGCTTCAAATACCAGAGAACTACCTTGTCAGCTGCTGTGTAATTCTAAATTAATGAGGGAGTTAGTTATGGAAGTTTAAGTGTATTTAGGGGATGTAACCAGGTCAAAAATTAAATGGTCTCAATTAGTTTGTAACTGGGCTTTTTGAGTGATAAAGATTGATTTCTGATTCCTCTTCCCCCCCCCCATCTTCCCTACTATCTCATCTATTTCCTGTCTTTCTCTTCTAGTTGTCTCTGCTATGCTATGACTACGTATAAGTGGTATTAGAGCCACTGATTCTTAGCCTAACATGATGGAATCCAAGTCATTCAGAAAATCAGCGGCAGATGGGATGTGGCTATGACAGCATGGTGGTGTCTAACTTCAATGATGCATTTGACTTTATTACTAGCAAGCTTCAAATACCAGAGAGCTACCTTTTCAGCTGCTGTGTGGTGGGTCTCAAGCCAAAACCTGCGGCTGTGGTGCAGTTTTTTCAAACCTGTCACCTTGCTTGAAGCCAGAAGTATTGGTAGGCTCCAACAAATTATCTCATGGAAGGACAAACCCAGTGACTTAGGTGGTGGCATTTGGGAGCCCTGGGACAAGGTAGTCCAAAAAGGTGGGTCTTTTTTGCCACCCACTCAAAGAGAGTGCGTCAAGTTGCAAGAACTCCTTTTGCTTGACGGCTATGCCTTCAAGAAGGCTTCTTGGCACATTCTTGTTGGGCCTTCGAATGTTTAGTAGTTGCAGACTTGTGGGTGAGGGTGAGGGCTGCTGCAAATAAGGTACCCAAGGTTCCTTTGTCACTTATTGGGGGTGAGGATTCGGAGCATTTTGAAACAGCTGCTTCTTTGAGTTGCAAGGTCATCGCTGCTGTCTGTCTCATTGTTCTCCCCACTGCGTGTTTCTCTTTTATCATCATTGTCTGTTTCTGTTTTTCTGTCACTGTTACTGTCGACTCCTGTTTTTTCACCATCACCACTGTCGGGTTCTCTTGGTTGTTGGACTTCACGAAGTGAGAAAGGTAAATGAACTTCATGGTCAAAGATTGAACGATCTGCATGGTTCAATGTGTCAGGTGTTGCTCAGCTAGAAAGGTTAACAGGACAACTGGCAGCGACCTGGAAATGGAATGGTGTAATAGATTTTGTGCTGCCAGATAAGCATATGGGCCTTGTGATTTGCAATAAAGGAAAGGGTCCAAGAGTACCTTTGCAATTGGATCTTTTTGCCTCCATTGATTTCTCTAACTGCTCCTCATATCCTGCAACTCTTCCCTACTCAATTGGTGGCTTTGATACAGTACAGTGGAAGACTTCAGTGCACTTGACCCTGGGGGAAAATGGCCTTTTGGGAAGGGGGTATTGATGTGTAATTATTAATAAATGAGGGAGGTAATTATGGGGGTTAAAAGATAGTTTGAGGGGGTAGGCTTTTAACAACCATGGCTGTGAATAAAATGGTCTTGGTTAGTTTGTAACTAGGCTTTCTGAGTAACAGAGATTGAGTTCTATTCTCCTCTTATCCCCCTCCCCTTATCTATCTTTCTCTTCTGTTTCTCTATGCTATCCTAGTTCTATATATCACTCAGCTACACAGATAAAATACAATCACACAACTCACTAGTTTATGGGGATATCCAACATTTTCACACATTATGAATTGTAGAATCATGTGATTCTACCATAGAAGATCAAATCATGCCAATTTATATAATTCACAACTGATTGGAGAGTACTTTTGATTTAGTTGTTGATTCATATTGTAGATGGTGACTTGTAAATAATTATAAACCGTACAATTTTATTGATGATGATTGCAGTAGGAATGAGGACTATTGCTTCGAGTCCAGCATTTATTAAAAGTTTGCTTTAGTTATGGAACTGCATGTGTTGATGATTAAATATAACACGATATTCAAATAGATTGCCAAAACCATTTGATTCATATTTCCCAGTGATATTGATTCTTGATAGTTGATGCATTTAAAATGTGGTTAATTCACATTTCTTACTGGAAGATTTTTGTAAATCTTTGGATTGTTGTCTTTTTCATCCATTCGTAATTTCCATTTCATAGTTTTTTCTTACCTTTTCTATAGGTGGAGAATGAGTCTGGTTTATCAAACTTCATTCCTGTACTCATTGGGGACGCAGAAATCTGCTCTGAATTTGAGACATTGCAGCAAAAACCAGACGTATCTCTTCTTTCAAAACAAATGCAGGCTGCATCTGGCGGTTCTATTTGCAGCTTCTGTGAAGCTTTTGCACTGAGACATACAGCATACTCAGACTTGCTGTTAGATATAGCATGGCTGCTTAAGGATCCTACTTCAGAAGATTTTCATAGAGCTATGACATCTTCACAAATTCAAAGATTTTGTTATTTGATAGACTTTCTGATGTGCAATGACTTAGTTGTCATTTTGGGGAAAATATTAGGGAATTTGAATATTTTGACAGACAATATGGAAACCAACAATGTGATTAACAGAATGAGTGAGGTTGACTTGACATTACTACTGAAACATACCTGTCAAGCTAGAGAATTCCTTCATCAGAAACATCGGAGAGGTGGAGATTTTGTCGTGTACTCTGTTTTTTCTGAAATGCATGGACATAAAGTTGCTCCAAGCTGCTATCAAGATAACATTCCGTCAGTTGTTAAAATCAGCAATCAGGTTAGGACTTTATTGTTTATGTCTTCATAGTTTTGTGATGACAAATTATGAAGAAATTTAGTTTTTAGATGTGCTTTTCATTTGCATCTGATAGGGTCTTTGTTACCACATATAATTAGGGAGAATAAAATGGAGTTGCTTGTGTTTAGATTGATGGTATAAGTTAGGTTAATTTTAGTTTAAGCTTGGTAACTTCTCTTCAAGCTAGAGGCAGTCGAATTGTTAGCTCTGTTCACAGTATGGAATCTGGATTAGACCTGATGACATGGGCATGCATGATAAATTTGGATTATGTGGCTCTAGAAGAGATCTGAATCAACTTGGTTTTGAAAGACCTGAGAAACACAACTTTAATTAGAAAGGAGAAGAAAGCAGATGGATTGCCATTGAAGGGGAGCAGTGATTATAAATAGAAAAGGTGTTTATGTCATCAGTGAGCTAGTATGATTGAGAGAAAAAGGAATGAGAAGTAAAATTACTTATCAATTGCCTTTGGGAGAGCTATTCTCAATTAGGTTCAAGCTCAACAATGCTTGAATCTGACCAAGTAGGCGTAGATATTAGATAACCACACACACACACATAAAATAATTACTTATCAATATTCAAGTTGAGAGAAGCAGTTAATGGGTATCGTTTAACACTCCTGTTACAAGGCAGTTTTTATCCCTGGATGCAACGTGGCAATTATGTAAATCTTGAACGTTTTAACTGTGATCCTACTGTTTATGTAGGGTGTCTCATATTAATTACCAACTTCGTACGCAATTAAGCTCTTTGTTAATGTTTCAGTACTCTTGAATTCCACTACAGTTGATGTATGGTTTCAATTTTCATTCATGAACATTATCATCAATCAATTTACTATATAAAACCTGTGACAAATTGCATCATTTAACAGCCATGAATAGCGTTACTCATTTTAAAGTCTTCATGCAACGCATGGGGCCATCTACCTTGTTTTAAATAACTTCTCTGCATCCTAGACTCCAAATTTACACAGTCTACCAGGGTTTTATAATGATCATTATCATGCAAGATATAGTGACATTGATTTGGAAACCAACACGCATTTTCTTCATTGATATAATTTGTAGGGTGGCGGGTCAAGAGCAGATGCGAAGTTGAAAGTACTGAGAAGTCCAGCAGGTGACTACGACAGAAGTGGAAGGATACCACTTTTGGGGGGTGATATCATAATGAACATGGAAGAGTCGCCTCAAAGATCTGGTTATCGACATCTTGTGAGGGGATTCTTGAGCTCGCGGCCGGCCATTCTCATGATTGCTTCAGTTGCTGTGTGTCTTGGGCTTTGCGCAGCCCTCCTTCATCCTGGGAGGGTTGGTGAGTTTGCAGTATCCATTAGAAGGTGCTTGTTCAGCAATTCGTAGATATATCACATTTTGGGGGTGATTTCTGGGTTGGTACATATTTGTTGTACACTGAACAAAACATGCGTAAGGTATAGAGTTGTTATTATTAGCGAGTTAATTAGAAATTGCAAGCTTTATTAATGGGTTCTATTTTGCGTCCTTCCACTTAATTCGATGGGCATTCATGACGGACGAGTGCTAATTGTGATCATAGCCGGTGGGCTCGAAGAGGTTCACAAATTTGAGTTTCACCCGAAAATGAAAATTTATTCAACGTCTTAGACAGTTTTGGCTGTATTTTTGGGATTTGATCTTATAGCTTATATTCATCTTGGCAGAAGATCCACGATGTCTCTCTCATTCACATCAAAACAAAAACTTGTTTAGTAATTCAAGTCAGGTTTGTTATTAGTTATTACAGTAAAGTGACGTAGATATAAGGAATTTAAATTTAGATTTGAATTTAATTCAAATTTTTCATTTAGATGGATGCACACAACTTTATTAATTTTTCATTATAATTCTTTTATAATTTTAAATTCCATAAAAGAAGACTTGCAAGTAATAAAAAAATAATATATTATCTGTGAATGTATTGGAAATAATTTCAACAACTTACACTGTTAGACGAAGTGTAAGTGTGAACATAATTTCAATCATTGAAAAAAAATTACATTTTGTTTCATAAATTTAAATGTTCAAATCATTATTATTTTTATTATATCAAAGGTTATTTTCTTTGACCAAGTATATTATGAATTCTGGCACTTTACCATCACATACTATCACTTTCGCAACCCGAACTAATCTCGTGTCATGTGGGTAAATGCGTTTTCTTTTTTTCTTTTTATTAGTTGTCACACAACTAAGATTGATGAGGAATGGAGAATCTGGCAAAAAAAAAGGGGGAATGGAGAAAAATATTAAAGAAGAAATATAACTTAACACCAAAAAAGCTTCAATGTAATCAAGCAGTTTTATCAATGAATAAATTAATTAATTTCTATTTTCACAATTAGTATTTATTATATTATATAAATAATAAATTTGAAAATATTTGAGTGTGTGTATATATAATGAATTTGGCAAGAATAAAATTTATTTGATTTGAATATTTTTAAAAAGATGAGTTTGTGGGTTTATTTTTTTTATATTTTCATAAATTATAATATTGCCGCATATTTTAGGGTGCAGACTCGACACGAGTTGTCTTTGTCGCCCGTCCCATAAGCATGGAGAAAGGATTTCTTTTTTCTTTTTTTCTTTTTAAAGAAATAAGAAGCAATTGAGGGGGTCATATCACTTGATAATTTATTAATTTGTTTTCTCCTATTGAAAAGGGAAACAATGAGATTAATTTTTTTAATGCTCTCGATTTTTATGATCCAATTTCACGCAAGAATATTAATATTTTTTCTGACAAGCCGAATCTGAATATTTTTTTCATACTAGTTAAAATCTTATATTTTAACTCTTGACTTTAACCAAGCGAGCCAAGTGACTTTTTCTAGAGATTCTAAAATAGATTATAACTCTCAAGGATAATATAATTCACAAAGCACCCTGCATTGTATGGATATAAAAAAAATAATTAAATATATTTTCTGTATATTGTAATAAGTCTGATTTAGATCACACTAATTATAAATTATAAATTATCAATAGTATATTTTACTATGAACTTTATATTTTTTTTAATACAAGCAGTAATAAAAAGAATGAACTGACAGTAAACAGTACAGTTCTAATGATAATTCTATTGTGATAATTTATTATGATTCATTTTGTAGATCAGGGGACCAAAAAGTAACGATATTTCGAATGTTGCCCAAGATAACATGATTTTTTTATATTATTTATTTCAAAGAAATGCATATTATTCATATATATGCCCCAAAGTTAGTTTTTATGTATTGTTCTATGCATTTTCATCAACAAATTAATATTTAATATAAGAGATTATTTGCTCTCCAAATTAGTTACATTTTCTAATCTGATGGCGACCATTATTGTGGACATCCAATTTGTTAATCCAAAAAACAGCCATTGGCGACCACTTGCAACCTCAGAGAGAGAGAGAGAGAGAGACATTGAAGGCCACGTGCAGTACTTAGTCTTGGAGCAGAACACGAGAGAACACCCAATGTCATCAAATAACATATTCTCCACCGATCTTGTATATTAATTACCTTTTAAAAACAAATTTATTTATTTTATAAGTCATTTGTTAATGAAATTATTTTGTTTTAAATTAAAATTTTTAAATTACTTTTGAAAAGTAAGAAAAAGAAAGATAAAAAAAAACATTATATTGTTTGTTTGCCTTTTATTTTTTATTTGAGGACCATATTTAAAATTTTATTTATTTTTATTTTTTGTGCTTTTGTTATATCAACGTTGATGGGGTTGATAGAAATTATTTATAAATAGTATGAAAAAAAGTATTTTTTATTGACCAAAAAACACAAACACTCGCACATATTACTTGTCCTTTCCTTCTATCCTACTAAGAACCACGTAAGCCCTTAAACTGCACCAATCATATATGCTACTGTCCCTCCTTCACCAAACTCGATCACCTTCTAATCTTTTTCCTATATTATAAACTAATCATCACAGATCATCATGGGGGGTATGTGTGTATCATGTACGCGTATGAAAGGGAGTTTATTTTACCATGAAAAAATATACTTCATTTGGTCTGCTTGTAATTTGTCCTCCATCTAGATTGAATAAATATTCAAATCTAAAAAGTTCAAAAGTTTTCAGGCTTTTATAGGTGGAGGTGGGTTTGATATTTGTTCTTTTCTTTTCTCTTTTCTTGCCCAAGATCTTGTGAACCTAAAAGAGCAAAAATGAACCCAAAATTAAATTTCTGGATCGGCTGAGGCTCTGATTATCTAAATTGGCCTGTTGTAATCACCACCACGTCACTGACAGCTGCAATATTCCCACATGCTTGTTTTCAAACAAAATTTCCACTCTAATGCAACTTGCTATAACCACAAGTCAGACTAATAGTAGAAATACACAGCAACCACATGGATATATACTGCTATATATATATATATATATCCATCTCAGTGTATGGTACGTGTATTATAAATAGTACGCATTGCTGACCACGTTCTTCATGCTCTCCATCTGTTTGCAATATTGCGCTCTGAGTTATTGGGGTTGAGGTGTTATTTTTGTCTCGTGTTCTTAATCTGCTTGTAGGTTATATATATAACTTCGTTTAGAAATCAAAATGGGAATTGATCAGTACAAGGACGTTGAAAGTGGAGAAGCCAACAGCAACAGGCTTGGGGATTTGCAGGAACCTTTCATCCAACAAGGAAACAAAACAACAGAATCTGCGGCCTGTAGAGATGCTGAAGCTGACAAAAGGGTTCAAAATGGATCCATTAATATGGTTTTACTCAGCACCTTTGTGGCTGTTTGTGGTTCCTTCTCCTTTGGAAGTTGTGTAAGTACTAAGTATATATACCTGCTTCTTCTTTCTCTTTTGCCTTTCAGAATGTGATGCGTATTGACTTAAGAATATACAGTTTACTACTAAATGTTAAAAAGGTTTTGTATTTTTAATTAGCTTAAGCTGTTATTTTGTCAGGTAGGGTATTCGGCACCCACTCAAGCGGCTATCAGAGCAGATCTTAAACTTTCCCTTGCTGAGGTATCATTCGTATTTTTTATTTGTTTCTCCTTGTTATCCTTATTTTTATCTCATGTTATTTGAAATGTAGTGCCTAATAAATATTTTCTTTGTTTCAAAATGGACTGGCAGTATTCCATGTTTGGTTCCTTGGTAACCATTGGAGCAATGCTGGGGGCTGTGACTAGTGGCCGGGTTGCAGATTTCATGGGCAGGAAAGGGGTATGTTTAACCTTAAAAAGATTATTTTCAATCGTGTATGTTATTGAATGTGTACCTGCTATATATTTACACATGTTATTGGAGGAATTATAATTGAAGACCATTTGTCCTGATCCGAATGGCTCAAATTACTGAGTTGACTTCAATTTTCTTGGGACAGGCAATGAGAATGTCATCAGGCTTTTGCATTACTGGATGGATAGCAATCTTCTTCTCAAAGGTAGAAATATGCATTTCCTACCTAATTCAAGTTCAACTCTTTATTTACCTCTTAATGTAATTGAGCCATTGTAGGGTTCATATGTTCTATTCAATATATATACTGTAGGGTTCTTTCTCACTTGACCTTGGAAGATTTTTCACAGGCTATGGAATCGGAGTCATCTCCTACGTGGTAATTAATTCATAACAACAATGAACTCTGATTATCTTTTTCTCTTGGTGTTATTATAGAAAAATAGAAACTATAAAGGAATGGACTGATGGGGTTAAAATGACCGAGTTAAAATCTGAACAAGTAACAATGAGCCAAACCACAAAACACTCGCTAACATCCACCACTAGACCAATCAGTTGGTGATAACTTGTATTTGCTTTTATGTTGGTAGTTTGAGCTCAATCACGTATAGTGTATATTTCAAAATCTTAACAAAATCAGAAAAACTGGAACAGGTCCCTGTATATATAGCAGAAATAGCACCCAAAAACCTTCGAGGAGGGCTTGCAACAACAAACCAGGTGAGGGAGTGTAGTATATATTGTTACGCTTGTATTGTCTCTGGTTAATTAAAGTCATGTTGGCATTTAGATAACTTGATTCTTTTCTCAGCTTATGATTGTTATTGGATCATCAGTCTCATTCTTAATAGGAAGTGTAGTAACTTGGAGGACACTGGCCTTATCTGGTGAGTTATAGCATTGTGGTACTGTACTGTCTCATAAAGTGTGGAGCCAATTATGGCAAAAAAAAAAATGGTTTGACTGTTGGTTTGATTTCAAATTTGTAGGTCTCATGCCTCTCATTTCCTTGTTGATTGGCCTGTGCTTTATCCCAGAGTCACCCAGATGGCTGGTAAAAACTTGTAGCTTGTTTTCTTCTTCAAGATATGAGTTGTTTTTGTTATAAGGAAAACTTCATTTCTCAAACATCTAGAAACATATTCATAAGATGCTTGAATATAGCAGATGAAAAAAAAAATCTAAAATTCTTGTGTTGGATTTGTCCTAAAACAATGTAAGGATGATAAAAGTAAAATGTTTGCAGGCAAAGGTTGGCCGTGAAAAAGATTTTCATGCAGCTTTAGGCAGACTTCGTGGCAAAGATACTGATGTCTCTGAGGAAGCTGCTGAAATTCAGGTGCACTCTGAGCTTCCTTAATTGATTGAACAACTTTTGCTGAACTGAAAAATTCTAATCGATTTGACATGTTAGAGGGGCTGGCCTCAACATTATTTTCTAACAGGATTATATTGCAACTCTTGAGAGCCTTCCCAAAGCTCAGTTTCTGGATTTGTTCCGAAGCAAGCATGTGCGCTCAGTAGTTGTAAGTAACATACTTTTCCCATAGGAACATGAGAACTATTCAAACCAAAACATAGTGGCATGCTTATGAGTTTATCCATAATTACTACTGTTCATGTAACTGCTCAGGGATCTTACTTTTAACGTTCTGCACTAACTGCAGATTGGGGTTGGAATAATGGCTTGTCAACAAGCTGTGGGAATCAATGGTATAGGATTTTATGCCGCTGAGACATTTGTTGCTGCCGGTAAGCGAGAACTGAGAACAATATATACGCTGATATGTTAAAAAGAATTAATTAATTTGTTTTTCCTTTGTATTTATTCCTTTATAACTTGATTTGTAGGACTTTCTTCATCCAACATTGGTACCATAGGCTATGCTTGTATACAGGTGGTTGATCCCTTTACTAATCTTCTACACTAACCATCGCATATCGCATCATTTCTCTGTTTGAACTTCATCTATTAAAACGAATGACAGATTCCAATCACTTTATTGGGGGCCATTTTGATGGACAAGTCAGGAAGAAGGCCCCTCATAATGGTAAATTGGTCATTAATCATGCAATTTGTCTTACCATCTAAACACAGAAGGCTGGACAGGAGCATTGATGCTTAGTAAAAGTGCCTGTACAATTGCAGGTTTCTGCAAGTGGGACATTCTTAGGATGCTTCATCACAGGAATTGCCTTCCTTCTCAGAGTAAGTCTTTTGTATCACATTTTAACCAGTTTCTATTGTGTGTGATGCGTCTTAAAATGTAAAATCCGGGCTCGTGTCTCATGGATCAGGGTCAAAGCTTATTGCTTGATTGGGTACCAATGTTAGCTGTTGCTGGAGTGCTGGTAAGTCGTCTTCTTCAGCTTTTGACAACAATTGAATATTTTGTCTCGTTTCTTTCAGGCACGTGTTTATTGTGACATCTTTTCTGGCCCTGCTTGTATCAGATCTATATTGCAGCATTTTCAATAGGAATGGGATCAGTGCCTTGGGTGATTATGTCTGAGGTATGTATATCTCTACACCAATAGCTCCCATGGTTTTTGGCTGTTGCAGCATGGCTTTAAAGAATAAAAAGTCAGTTCTGAGATCTTTGCTGTTAGTATATTTTCCTATAGACTTCTTTTGTTTGTATTTGGTACAATTGGCAAAGCAGAAGCTTTCACTGAAGCCATTTTGCAAACTATCCAATCCATTTTAACACTACAGGAAAGTTTTTTACTGTATGTGTGTCCCAATTCTGTTCTTTGTGCATCATGAATACATCGCCTTGAGGAAAATAGAGAAGAGGAAAGCCCAAAGCATGGGACAAAGAATTTTGCAGTCTTCAAAGGAAAATGCAAGCAGTAGAGAAAATCTAGAAATAGTTTCCCCCCTTGTTCTTAAGCTGAAAAAGTGAAAGCAACCAAGCAGATGAATCGTTCCTAGCAATGGAAAGGTCTAGTGAAGAGTTCATAGCAATGTGAAGAATATTCTAACGGCAGTTTTGGTATGGCAGATATTTCCCATAAATGTGAAGGGAATTGCTGGAAGCTTGGTGGTTTTGGTGACTTGGTTAGGAGCTTGGATAGTTTCATACACTTACAACTTTCTCATGATTTGGAATGCTCCTGGTAAGTACTTGGTCAACTCCTGTGAAGCAAAAATACTTCAAAAAATTGTTTTGTCTGATACATGTGGTTGAATTATGATATTGTGTGTCAGGTACTTTATTCATGTATGGTGGATGTTCCTTGGTAACCATTCTGTTTGTGGCAAAGTTTGTGCCAGAAACCAGAGGGAAAACACTAGAAGAGATTCAGGCATCAATCAATTCATAAGCACAAGTTCTTTACATAGTACCGGAAGAATACCATGACAGTCTCAACCATCTTTGTGGCCATTCACTCTCATCATTGATCACATTCTTTGAATTAATGGATAGGATTGCCTAGGAAGAAAGAAGGCATTCAGTTTTCAGTAACAAGATAGCAGAGCTTGATTTGTGCAATACAAATGTGTCCACCATACTCCTTCTGTTTTTATTTGTAGAAGAAAAAAATTGCATCATTTAATTTAAAAAAATTGATTAATTATATCAATTGTATATGAAAATAAAAAAATTAAACTACAATATTCTTCATTAATCGTGTTAATCAAACCTTCATTAATTATTTCTTATGACTATAAATAATAAATTATGAGGGTTAATTTAAAAAGTTTGCAATAAATCTTTATTAAAAATATTATTTTGCTTATATAAAAAAATAAAATAATAGTTTTTCTTATAAATAAGAACGAAATGAGTATTACATTACAAGTCATTATTAATATAAATATATATGAAAAAATTAATTTTTTAATCCTCCAACTTTTAAATCACTTGTAACTCAGTCCCTTAACTATAACTCGTTGTAACTCAATCTTTTAACTATGACTCGCCTATGACTCAATTTCTCAACTTTTAAATCAGTTACAAATTAGTCCCTTAACTTTTGTTAATTTTTTTTATATTAGCTTATATCTCACATCAATGAGTAAGAGGAGGATATTTTAAAATAATATATGAGCATTTTTTTATCCCTCTTATTTGATAAGAAATTTTTAAAAAAATTAAAAAATAAGGACTGAGTTATAGGTGAATCAAAAGTTGAGAGACTGAATCGTAATGAGTTATAATTGAGGGATTGAGTTGTAGCGAATCATAATTGAAGGATTGAGTTATAAGTGAGTTAAAAGTTAAAAGATTAAAAAAATTAAATTTTTCAATATATATTATAAATGTTGCAAGTTCTGTGTACAGGCTGGAACCGGAGAACAATGTTTTCTTTTTGATATATACGATTAGTTTTAGTGTTTGTCAAATCATCAATAATGTGTGTGTGTGTGTGTGTGATATTTCACTAAAGATAAAAATTATATCTATGTGACAAAATCATAAAAGTGACGTGAGGATGATAGAATACTATTTAAATTTTAAAGTTAAAACCCAATAATATAATAAAAAATGCTTTTTTTACCAACATAATAAAAAATGCTAATGAAATTAATTTATTGCATATCGACTCACGTCACAAAAAATTTTTGTTAAACAAGTATCTTTAAAAAATGATATGCTTTTTTTAAAAAAAAATTGAATTTTGATTTTAGTAAATAAATTAATAAAGAATGACGTGGAAATAGCAATATCTGAGCACGGTATAAGGAGCGAAACAAGAACAAGAGATCAAAACAGTATTATTTGCGGAAGTTGTCTGGTATCTCCGTTGTTCGCCCCAGGCCCCTCTCAGAAACGAGTTTCAGAGCTTCATAGAACAAGAACAAGAGACCAAGGCAGAATAATTTCATGGCGTCGTCTACATCGAGGATTGCTTTCCGCATTGTCTTGATTGCTCTATTCTTTCTTCTTCTCTTCTACATGGGCCGCCCTCTCTACTGGAAAATCTCCGCCACCATACACGATATCCGGCAGAACAAACAAACCGTCCGAGAAGGTACCGTTGTCTTATTTCTTAATATCTTCTATCTGTGTTCCATTTCATGATTTTTGAAATAATTTTATATGCTTGTCTCGGTCCAGGTCTTTCCCAGATCGTTATGGAAGCTCAGAGATCGGTTGGTTGGTACCGCGACGAGTTTGACTCGGGTCGTGCTAACACCCGGAAGCTGCTTCTGGATCAGGTTTATCGGACGGTTGTTGGCTGATGAGAGTTTTTAAGGGGTGGAAAACAAAACTGAAAATAAAAAAGGGGTTTTGTCTTTTTCGAGATTTTGTGATCTAGTTAGTTTATTTTATCAATGATAATTGAGGTAGGGGTATCTTATTATAGTAGTGTATGAATGTAGAATGATAGATTTGAGACATTCTGGGCAAAATAAAATATCAATGTTTTCTTCATTGTTGGTAGTTGAATAAAGGCTGTCGGTTCTGAGATTTGTGCAGTGAAATAAACTAGGTGACTTCTTATAACTTGTGCCCTTTAATTCTCTCTTTATTTTGAAGTTTTGATGCAGTAAGTCATTAACAAAACATATATTGAAACAGTAAGCGAATGCTTGTGGTTCGGATAGAGGTTGTGGGTTCAGAACTCATACAATACGTGCAGTTGGAATGTATTGGTGTTAAAGAAAAAAAAAAAATTATTGCGTTGCAAATATCATTTAAACCAAGCGTGCCTCAGTGGATTCCCTCTCTTTTATATTTATTTATTTGGCCAGCATTTTATATTTATTCAACCTCGTTAATTTAGGTAAGTCAGGGTTTATTTTTCCTTTTTCTGGGTTGATCTGGTACCTTCCCTACATCAGGCTTATATTCTGCTTCCTGGGGAGCTATGTTATGCACAACTGTGAACACTTGGTGCAAGTTCAGGATTGAATCATTGTTTGAAACTTTACAGCGAGATATATTGATTCATCAAAGCATTGTTTGTGTTTCATGGTTCTTGGAAATTCGAAAGTATTTAACTTAGCATATTGGGGAATGTGGAAATGGTGAAAATATTCTTGTATGAGGCTGAGCTTTGCATGTATAGTTTTTTAATGATAGACAGTAAATTTGCCATCTTCATCTAGGTTGCCTTTTACCTCCATTTATTAGTAATTGAGCCTTCAAGCTTGCAATATTTAGTGGATTAAATAGGTTCAGAAACACAAAGTAGAAATTGGATTTGCATAGCTTTGGAGTGGCTCAATACAAAACAAGCATTGCTAGAATAACATGAGGATGTTAAGGTTCTTAAGCTTAATCTTTTGGGCGGTGGAAGCTTGAAGTATTAGGAATGAGACTATGAGAGTGAGATGGGAATATTAACTAATGGGGGTTATTTCCAAGCAAATTTATAGGCTCATCAAGAGTTTAGTGGCATTGTTGAATAAGCTTAGCTATGCAAGGTTTGAGGTTGTTAATTCAGCGAGGACTTGTTTTCCTTTCCTGTATTTCTAAATCATTGTCTTCTGTGCTTTTGGTGGGCATATGCCCAACCAACTTGAAGGTTTGGTTTATGGTGGACTATGTCCCAAGATATTAATATTACTCACCAATGGGGGTTTTATCAAACTTGTATATCAAGAAACTGTATGGTGGACTCTGCTCTCTACCTCTTTTGTAACCTTTGATTATTCCCCACCTTGGTGTTTGGAGTTGGAGGATGATGAGAGATCTCTTTGAACTTTTGCATTTCTTCCTTGTAAATTTTGATTATTAATAGTATCCATTTTTATTAAAAAATGTGTAATCACCAGTTCAAGAACTGATGATGATTGCAATCATGATCTTCATTCTAGCAAGTGGCAACTAGGGCATAAAGTTAGATGGATAATGGAAAAGATCAGTGTTATTCATCTCAGCAGACCTATAGTCCTCTAAATTAACTGAGATACTTGAGGAAATTGTCTTTGGCAACCGAAGGAAAATTTTTGGATTTGTATCCTCTGTTGAGAAAGGAACTCGTGATGAAAACTATATTGATTTTAAATTTGTTCTTTTTTTGTTTTTTGTTTTTAAATAAGAGGACAAGAGTGCAATAGAAATAAAATTTTAAACAGATAGAAAGGCTCGAAGCTCCAGACTATGTTTATTTTCCTGCATGCATAAATGGGAGAGGTATTATTTTTTTTTTTTTGGGTGAAAGAAGGGGGTAGCGTCTGTCTGAAATGGAAGATAAATAAGGGAATGAAATGAGTAACAATAAAAATAAATCATATAATCCGTAGATTTCATAGGGTCAAAGTATATTTAGTTAGAGAAGTTAGCTATGTGGCACAATGCATTCTCTTTTTTAGACCAGCAAACTTGTATGTCAATGCATTCATTCATAAGGGTTTTAACAGACTTGTATGTCAAGAAACTGTCAATGGATAGGACACGCATCCGTTAGGTTGCAAATAACCTATTCACACGAGAAACCATTCTCCGAACTGGTCACAAAATAATCACAGGCCGCATGTAACAGACAAAAATGTGTGTTGATTTTACGGAATAAACCATTCTTCATCTTAATATTTCTCGTCCCAATGTAGAGGAGGAAAAAAAGGCACGTTTCTTTTTTTCTTTCTTTCTTTTTTCCTGAATATAAGGTCATGGAGAACCTGTGTAAAAGTGATTACAAATCAAATCATATCAAATTTTAAGTGAGATCAGCATCCCGATAGTGGATGAAAAAAAACAGTCACATTTTTACAACATGTATAACTTCCCATTTACAATACACTAAACAAGCAAGTGTATGCCGAACTTTTTTTTCTTTTTGGCAAAACCAGCTTGATTTTATTTTCTTAATTTATTGTATACCAAAGTCAAACCTTGCAACTGCAGCCAAAAAAAGTTAATAAATCATGCAAATGCTCCCACTGGTCGTTATTATAGAATACTTTTTTAAAAATATTTAATTGTTAATATAAGATACTTAATGGGATATTAATTATATTTTTCAATATCATTTTTATTTAAGTTCATTAGTTATAAAAAAGAATATAATATACATTTGAAAATTTTTTATTTAGATAAGCGTAAAGTTGCAAATTTATTAAATTTTTAGATAAATTTAATGATTTAATTACCTTTTCTTAATTTTAATTAGGTAGTTAGAGATGTTTCATAACAAGAGCTGAGGGGCAGAGTTTAGCCTAATATTAATGATAATGACATAGACTTTTTTGGTTCTTTTGATCTCAGATCTAGTCGTTTTTTGAACAAATGCAATAAATGAACATTGTCACTTTAGACTTAATGCATTTGAAAGTTAACTTTTTTTTTAAATTTTATAGCCTTAACAGTATTTGACCACTAAACCCATTTTCAGCTCTCTCTGAAAATATTATCACTTGCATTCTGGTTTTATAGTCAAGTCCTATCAAATGAGAACTTCCTGCATTATTAAACCCTGTAAGGTAATTTCTGGTAAAATGAATAGAGAGAGATGTAGAATGCATTTTATTGAGATCTAAGTCATATTTAAATCTTTCTTTTTTCTTCTTATGTCAACTAAAATTCACTTAAAAATGCCTTCAATTTATTATATATGTGTTTGTCAGCGTTGGATGACTTTTCTCAAGTGACCTTCTATGCCGTTTTGTCCTTGGGTTTTTTCCCGTCAAACTACTAAAATTATTTTATATATGACAAACTAAAATAAAATTGTACCCTACTGAAATTAATATATACTATTATACTTTTTTTATCTTATTTATAAAATAAAAGAGAATTTTTTTTATTTTATTCATAAGTCATTTCATTAAATTTTTATCATTTTTTCATTTAATTTTCATTAAATGTTGAAGAAAGAATATATTGTTAAAGTATATATATTTGATAAGAATAAATTTTTAAATTTTTAAATAAAATTAATAAATTTTAAAATTTTCTTTAATTTAAATACATCGTGCTAAAAGTGCCGTGTAAATAGAAGTAGAGCCCTGCTTATTAAATACAACAGGCCGCACAGCTTTCCATGAATCTTATAAATAATGTGCATGAGAAATAAGAAGAGATTTTAAATAACGTGTACAAGAAGCTACTAATGCACAACATGGTGCAAACGGACCCATTTTATTTAATATCTTTTGTCCGGAATAAGCGGAGAAACATAAGTCAACTCTTTTAAAGCCACTATTCATAGTTGACTGTGATAAAGTTAAAATTTTTACGAGTTTAAAATATTCTAAAACTTTTGAAACGATTTAGGACAATCAAGAAGATATCGAAGTCTTCTGAAATATGCCGATATGACATCGAAAGACCTAAATATCTCTAAAATAGTTTAGAAAGCACTTGAAGTATCTAGATCATTTTAGGGATATCCTACTCTTATACATTCTAGAAGTCTCCTTGTAAATATCAAAATATTCCTTGTAGATATTTCTATAAAAATATCTAGAGATAGAATATACACCGTTAGATCGAATCAATCGCAATCATCTATTAAGGAGGTGGGAATTTTTTTAAAAAAGGGGAGGCCTGTAAATACCCCTTCACTCCTCATTTGTAACCACTCAAGCAAAGTAATAAAGCTCTTAAGTTCATTCACTCAAACTCTCTACTCTCTACTTGTGCATTTAGCTCTCCTAAGTCTCTTTGCCTACTTTGTGGGTTTAGCTGACTTAGTCACAATTAAGAGGTTAATCAAGTTAAAGCCAGCACGGTTCAAGGAAAGAGAAGTTCCTGTAACACACCAAATTTTTTTTTAAATAATTTAACTCAACCATAGTTGGGTTACAGCCACCCAACACATTTTTATATCAATAATTTCGATATAAAATATTTTATAATTGGCTTCAACTCACACACTATAACATTTCAGATAAATTTTTACCTCCCACATGCCATTAGGCTAAATCACATTTGTCCATCCTTATACTCCCAACAAGTAAACTAAATCACATTTGTCCATCCTTATACTCCCAACAAGTAAAATAAGCAATTTAGTCAATTTTCAACACAAGCCAGTTATTTGGTCTTATAATCATGCCATTTTAACCAATCCAAAGTAAACCAAATATTAAAATTACAGTCATCTAAATTGTACCAAAAATAGAAATAGTTTGAAAAGCATGATTACATTTATATATTCATATAATTGACAATAAACAAAAAGCCCTAATATTGGCAATATAACACATTATAAATCATAAATTAAATACCCAAAAGAGACAGTGGATCTATACCACTAAGCCTCTGGGACTCCTCCACGTGTCACTCGTGGCTCTTCTCCTGAAAATTGTTAACCACATAATGAGACTCAAAAGTCCTAGTAACCAAAGCCAATTTATGATAGTGTATACAAACAATTAAGTGTGTGTTTACTAAGTGAGAATTAAAAATAATATAATTCCAATAAATATAAGAAATAATACAATACACACAAACAACCATCCTTATATCCCTCCATTAACCTCGAGCCGTAGCCTTCACTCGGTGCTAAATTACCCGGCCAAAGGTAGATTAGCTCGAGCCCTTACAAGCCACCTATT